GCCTTATTTCTTTTATAAAACAAAAGCAGGAAAAAATACAGAGAGAGGATGAACAATGAAACAACCTTTTTACGTTAGAAATCAAGGACCTGTCTATTATCTGCTCTACGGTGATTCAGAAACTATTGAATTTCTGATACTACAAAGGACTGAAAACTCAGGGAAGAGAAAGGAAAGAGTATTTAGTCAGACTATAATGTTTTGGTTTTCTGTTCACGGCTCTCTAATGTTTGAGATGAATGCATATTTAACTTATGAGCACCTTTACAATAAATTCAACAATTTTACTTACTCAGGCTGTATAAGCCTTCCTCTAGACACCTTCATTAAGATGGGGGGACCCTTCCTTTCCAAGGTTTTGGTAAAAGGAAAAGCTTTCAGAAAGAAATAATTACAAGACAAAAAGCCCACCCCAAATATTGCTTGCAGATCATTTTTAAAGATTCTCAAGCCTTGGGTCTGGCTTTTGGAGACTGTTTTAGGGACCTTGTACCTCACACCTGAGTGAGGGTGGTTCCTTGCCCTACATCAATGCTGACCTTGTGAAGGAACACCTTGAGAGGCTGGACACCTTCAAGTCAGCTGGCCCTGACAGTTTACACCCCAGAGTACTCAAGGAGCTGGCCTGCATCGTAGCTCAGCCCCTGGCATGGATTTTCGAGAGCTCCTGGCGCTCTGGTGAAGTGCCCAATGATTGGAAGAAGGCCAATGTGGTGCCTTTCTTCAGGAAATGGAGGAAAGTAGATCTGGGGAGCTAGAGGCCCATCAGCCTGACCTCTATCCTGGGGAAGGTCTTAGAAAAGATTATCAAAGAGGCCTTTCATAATGGACTGGCCGATGGCAACATTCTGAGGGATAGCCAGCACGGGTTTGTTGCAGGTGGGTCGTGCTTGACCAATCTTATTTCCTTTTACGACCAGGTGACCTATCACCTGGATAAGGGGGAAGAGATTGATGCCATATATCTTGACTTTAAAAAGCCTTTAATCTGGTATCCCGTGATCACCTCTTAGCAAAACTGGCTAACTGCGGCCTTGGGTTCACCACGATCCGCTGGCTGGGAAATTGGCTCGTGGTCAGACCCAGAGGGTGGTGGTTGACGGAAGTCAATCGTCGTGGTCCCATGTGACCAGTGGGGTCCCACAAGGCTCTGTCCTTGGACTCATATTGTTCAACCTCTTCATTAATGATGTAGACATTGGAGTCAGAAGCAGACTGGCCAAGTTCACCAATGATACCAAACTTTGGGGTAAAGCATCCACACCTGAGGATGGGGGTAATCCAGGCTGACCTTGACAGGCTCATGAAATGGGTGGCCGAGAACCTGATAGTGTTTAACACTGAAAAATGCAAGGTTCTCCACCTTGGGGGAGAAATTCTGCAGCATGTTTATAGGCTCAGCAGTGCTACGCTGACTAGCACTATGGACGAGAGGGACTTGGGGGTCAGGACTGACCACAAGATGAACATGAGCCTGCATTGTGAAGCTGCGGCTAGTAAAGCGAGCAAAACCCTGGCTTGCATCCATAGATGCTTCTCAAGCAAATCCCGGGACATCATTCTCCCCTTGTACTTGGCCTTGGTGAGGCCACAGCTGGAGTACTGTGTCCAGTTTTGGGCTCCACAATTCAAAAAGAATATGGAGAAGCTTGAGAGAGTCCAG